TATTTTAATTTGTCTCAAACAGGTCTCTGAAGAAGAAGCATAATAATCAGTCCCCCAGAAGTTTGCACGCTTCTTTCAGAATCAAAGAGTCTGTTAAAGTTTACTGACATAGAAACCCTTCCTTGCTAGTTTGGCAATATCACATTTAACTGACACAATGATTAGTTGAAAATCTACAGAGCAAAGAGAGTTACACACCCATTTGCCCATGCTGGGATAGTCATGCTCTGGATCAAACAGGTGCTGGTGAAGCTGGAATTCTTTGCTGAATTGTGCTGTGTCAGGTGTGTTTTCGAGACATCCATCATCAACTGCAAAAACATCGGGAGAAGTCTGAGTTCCATTTCAACTTGTAATAAATAAGAATTTCTCATCAAGAACACATGCAATGAATTTTATCATCAAGGATGGGAGATTAGAATAACATTTTTTTCTTGGCAATAACCCTCTTTGGATTTTTTTTTTACAATGTCAATAATCTCTTAAAATAAGTTAAAGCAATGTCTTCCAGTAGGGTCATAGATTAATGAGCAGCTGGAACAAACTGTTGTTCATAAATTTATCCAGAGTTCATATTTGTACTCATACACACTAGTTTGTTATATAGCATCTCTTACCACTATTTTGTAGTTCCTTGCCGTTTGAAATGTGGATACACAGTCCTTATTTTGTTGCAAAAGCATAACTCCTGACTGCCCTAATATACCATAGCAAGATTTTTCCCCGTGACCCTGCTTGGAAATACCCAAGTTAAAAAAAAAAAAATCAAAAGAAAGGTTTGGAATGAAATATAATGGGAGAGATTTGTTTATACTCAGGAAGTCTATTTCCTTGAGAACAATAGGACAGTAGCTGTAATTGGTCAGTGAATCATTTCTCTATAATTATTGGGTAGAAGTGGAATCCTGCTAATATTTTTGGATACTTCCTTGACCTTTATTCAACACAGGTATGAGGTGATCCATTCTTCTTCCCACTGGCTTGTTAATCAATAACACTGATCATTTCATTGATATTGCAATACCATATTATTTGGTTTGGGAGCTGTTGGCTCATGGCTTTCAAGCATTCAAATCCAGCAACCCTACAAGTTGGCCTAAGATGGAAAACTCTAGTAGACTGTCCTAGAAAAGAAAGTAAGCCTTGATATACCACCCTTTCTAATTATGTTCTATGAAAGTGGTGAGGCTGCAGACTAGCAGTAAGGGCCCAACTGTTGGGTGCTGTAGGTGCCAAAATGCCTGAATCCAGCCAGAACAACTTGCTGTGGAAATAACTAAGAATGGCTTGTCTTTCAGTAAGCCAGTCCACAAACCTCTCTGAGGAAATTCTCTAATAAGTTTAACATAAGTTTATTAAGCAGTGGAAAGCTAGTCACAGTGAGGCTGATAGAACGGAACACAGGCCATGGCAATGCAAGTCTGTGGTCAGGCAGGCAAAAAGGGAATATGAGGAGCATATAACAAAAAACGTAAAAACCAACAATAAAACTTTCTTCAAATACATTAGAAGCAGGAAAACAGCCAGGGAGGCAGTGGGGCCCTTGGATGACCAATGGGGTAAAAGGAGTACTGAAGGATGATAGGGAAATGGCTGAGAGGCTAAATGCATCTTTTGCCTCTGTCTTCACTGTGGAAGATGAGAAGTGCTTGCCCACTCCAGAACTGCTGATTTCAGGAGGGGTGTTGAAAGACCTGAGTCAGATTGAGGTGACAAGAGAGGAGGTCCTAAAACCGATAGACAACTTAAAAACTGATAAATCACCAGGCCCAGATGGCATACATCCGAGAGTTCTGAAAGAACTCAAATGTTGTCTTGTGGATCTTTCTGAAAGAACTCAAATGTGAACTTGTAGATCTCCTGACAAAGATATGTAATCTTTCCTTAAAATCTGCCTCCATTCCTGAGGATTGGAAGGTAGCTAATGTCACTCCCATCTTTAAAAAGGGTTCCAGAGGAGATCCGGGAAATTACAGGCCAGTCAGTCTGACGTCGATAATGGGTAAATTGGTGGAAACCATTATTAAGGAAAGAATTAGTAGGCACACAGATGAACAAAACCTATTGAGGCAGACTCAGCATGGGTTATGTAAGGGAAGATCTTGTCTCACTAACCCTGTTAGTGTTCTTTGAGGGGGTGAACAAACATGTGGACAAGGGGGATCCAATAGATATTGTTTACCTTGACTTCCAGAAAGCTTTTGATAAAGTTCCTCATCAAAGGCTCCTAAGTAAGCTCAAAAATCATGGGATAAAAGGACAAGTCCTTTTATGGATCAAAAACTGGCTAATTAATAGAAAACAGAGAGTGAGTATAAATGGGCAGTTCTCCCAGTGGAGGGGGGTAAGCAGTGGGGTACCACAGGGATCAGTACTTGGTCCACTGCTTTTTAACTTGTTCATTAATGATTTGGAGTTGGGAGTAAGCAGTGAAGTGGCTAAATCTGCGGATGATACGAAGTTGTTCAGGGTGGTGAAAACCAGTGAGGATTGTGAGGCACTCCAAAGGGATCTGTCAAAGTTGGGCGAGTGGGCGTCAACATGGCAAATGGGGTTCAATGTGGCCAAGTGCAAGGTGATGCACATTGGAGCCAAAAATCCTAAATATAAATACACATTGATGGGGTCTGAACTGGCAGAGACAGATCAAGAGAGAGATCTTGGAGTTGTAGTAGATAACTCACTGAAAATGTCGAGACAGTGTGTGACTGCAATAAAGAAGGCCAATGCTATGCTGGGGATTATTAGGAAGGGTATTGAAAACAGATCAGCCAATATAATAATGCCCCTATATAAATCAATGGTGAGACCTCATTTGGAATACTGTGTGCAGTTCTGGGCACCACACCTTAAAAAGGATATTATAGCTTTGGAAAAAGTGCAGAAAAGGGCAACTCGAATGATAAAAGGGTTGGAACACTTTCCCTATGAGGAAAGGTTAAAGCGCTTAGGGCTCTTTAGCTTGGAGAAAAGACGACTGAGGGGTGACATGATCGAGGTTTATAAGATTATGCATGGGAAAGAGCAGGTAGAGAAAGAGGTACTTTTCTCCCTTTCTCACAATACAAGAACCCGTGGGCACTCCATGAAATTGCTGAGCGGTCGGGTTAGAACGGATAAAAGGAAGTACTTCTTCACCCAAAGAGTGATTAACACATGGAATTCACTGCCACAGGAAGTGGTGGGTGCTACAAGCATGGACGGCTTCAAAAGGGAATTAGATAAGCATATGGAGCAGAGGTCCATCAGTGGCTATTAGCCACAAGGTATAGCTAGGGGCTCTGGGGCAAGTGATGCTCTGTCTTCTTGGTGCTTGGGGGGGGGGTCAACAGTGGGAGGGCTTCTAATGTCCTGGCCCCACTGCTGGACCTCCTGATGGCACTGGTATTTCTGGCCACTGTGTGACACAGAGTGTTGGACTGGATGGGCCTTTGGCCTGATCCAACATTGGCGTCTCTTATGTTCTCTTAATTAATAACAGTACTATGTAAGACATTTTGTAACATGATCATTAGCAGAGATGAGAAATCCTGCCCTATGGTCTCATTAGCATTTTTGGCCATAATTTCCACCTCTGAGATGCTTGCCACAACCAATGCTCCCTCTAGGCTGTGGAGTCATGTGAGCAAAAATTCTAC